ATGTCACGAACCGTCGAGAGCCGATAACAAGTTTTTAGTGTCAACAAAATACCTATGGCACCGAACCAGTACGAGTATAGCAGTAAAGGGACCATGAACCGTTTCCTGAAGCACCCGACTCGTTGCTGATTGCGAACACAGTCGACAGCCAAGTGGCTCAAACACCTTCTTAATGCTCGATGGTAGTCCACACAAAAAAATGTATGAAATGTGTCAGCTTATACGCCGTAACGACGCTTCGCTGCCGCGCGACCACCATTAGTCGCGCGCGGGCTGAGTATACCGCGAGGACGCCCACCCCTACGCGGAGTCGAACCGGTGACCTTATGGTTGGAAAGCAAACGTGCCGACCACTCGGCCACCGGCCGAGTAGCGAGTAGTAATCTAGGCTGTTCATCCGCCCTCCGTTAGGTACCTCATTCAAGTTAAAAAGTGGTTGGTCACTCACACTGTATCCGGAAACATTGGCTTTGTGGTATGTGATACATAACCAGATGGACAGCGTCGAACTTCCCAAGCTCTGATATGCTGCGCTGATTGCCTGCGGAACAAGCGAGACTCATCCACACTAGCCCTCAGTAGGAAGGCATTCCTGCGGAAGCACGCGACGGCGTACAACGAGCCCGTAAGCCGCTCCCTGTGTAGACGTCTCATTCTCAGCCTCGTCTCGTATCACTAATTCTTTACCCATAGCACATCATGGTATCACCGCAGCACTAGGATACGCCTAACTGTGGTGTCGCTATAATCTTTGGATTTTGTGGTCTACCCCTACCAACCTACAGGACCCGTTAAGCATTCACTTAATTGCGCCTACTAAACAATACTCAGTGTAACTTTTACACGTTGCTTTGAGTCGCATTGCGGGCTAGCCATGGAACAAGCACTAAGACAACTCATATGTCAGCTGCATTACCATCTTATTGTCCACGTTGATACGTCGCCCATCGCAACCGCAGGACGCCAGGAAGATTTCTGCGCTGCTATCATCGCACCAGTGAATGTGCCTATGTCCACCGGTGCACATGCGATTTACTGGTGTGACCAAAGTAACCTGTGTCCTCCGCGCTGCAATGTGCCACTCGTATTGTGCCTCTTGCCACGTGCACGCCGTGTCCACAGCACGCGATAAATCGTACGGACAAGCGCCTGGGGTTTAGCTTAGTAACACGGATTGTCGGCCGTGTCAGAATGCGAGTAGCCAGTGACCCTATTCCATAACAGGCTCTGCTATAATGGTGGTGTGAATCGCGCTCAAATTCCTTATCATACACTGACCCCGTTTCCTCTTAGCCTGCCGTGGGTGACCTCAGATATTAACGAGTTACTACCCCCATCCCCCATCATGTAATCCGTTACCGCCCATGTGACAAGTCGCACACGAGCAAACTCAGGGCTGTAATGACTCCCCTACACCCCCGTGCCCCACACTTGCGTACACGGTGCTGTCTACTATGCATTCGACATGCTATTGGCTGACAGCGCTTGGCTAAGGAACCAGCCACACGACGGTGCGCGCATGTCACAGTCGCCTGACTCAACTTAGTTCATCGGAAGGAGTAACCTGTTAGCGTACCAGATGAAGTTGATATCTGGTTAGCTTAAGTTGTTACCTGTATGGCCTAACATGACTCGGAAATGGTATAGAACATTTGGCTAAATCTGAATTTGTTACTGTTATCAGTTTCTCCATTTCTTTAGTAACTTAAACCTACCATTTGCCTTAAAAATCCATCGTATAAACGATTACTTGTTTTATGCGTTCTTGTTGTACACTTTGATCAGACCACCTAATTGCACTGTGCCTCGTACCGTCGTGAAATATACCATTTATTTATTCATATTGTACTCTATTCCGATTCTGTCTTCGCCAACCCTTGTAAACGTATACTATCCGGTTTGTGACTTACATGCTCTTTGATTCATTTTCGATGATGATCTGGAACCAATTTCACAGTTTCGCTGCGATTATTCTCAAACGATTCATGTTAGCGAACCCCTTGCGAAATAACACTTTTCTTGTGGCCCTATTGAGCTGTGGTTCCCTGTAGGGTTTGTTCTGAACACTGATCGACGCCGCCCTATTTTCCTAAACTACTTTCTTATTGCCAATTGCAATCGTCAGCACGGTACCCCATTCTGTTTGGATTAGCATCTTAATCGGTTTATCAGTGTCTGTTGTGTTACATGGCCCCCCGCCCCATCGACTGACGGTGTTTTCAACATTCTCTCAAAACCGTCATCGTTCCGTTTGAAGGGACAGTGTGGCAAAATGTTAGCAATTCTGTATGCGTCTACTTTCGCTGGGAGTAGTCGAATGAAGTCGCTTGATCGCTGCTGTTGTAACCCATCCGCCCTTTCAACTTGATGTGCAAGAAGTGTCTTCAGTTTAACGGCTCCCTGCTTATGGTCTCCATTGGCCAAGCGACCCAACGAGAGCATACGAAGTGTCAACATATTCGTTTCATCTCCATCGCTTCGCGAGTATTCCACTACTACGACTTGCTGATCCCCTAGGTAATAGGATTGCAAATTGCCAGTTTATTGAGCTCCAATTGAGAATGTATCCACCCCACGTTTGCACCCCACTATCTACTCAAACCCTGTTGTGTTCAACTGCTGTCTGTCTAGCGCACATATTTGTGTTGCACCATCGATCGGTGACGGACGTGACGTACATGAATTTGTCTTAACTACGAAGTTACACTGCTTTGACTCCGGTTTGTTTACAGATCTATATGTGGCTCTCTGGTTCCATCACAAAGAGTTGGGTTCTTTGGTTTTTTTCTAAATATATAAGTAGTGGACTTATTCTCGACGGTGCGAGACGCCTTAAAAGGCATGATCATGTTAATACAAACACGTAACATCAGTAATGGTGC